ATAATTCCACACATTTAACTAACAACTTTACAACTTTTAAATTTTCAGGTAAAAACCTTCACTGGATGATTCTCATTGTAGAAAACCTTTGAGAATATTATTCACATTAATGAACATTTCACAGTTAGAATAATGAAGGTTATTGCTGATGACAGGTCTTTCTCCATAGGACCCTTACTGGAGTGTATTTGACAGGTACATACAATAGAACCTCCTGTGTATCTTCTGGTTAAATAATTATAAACCGGAAAATCTACCAAAGAGGCTTTCTATATGTACACAAGAAACATTCTCAATAAGAGACCCCTATATGGAGAATCATATGTTGACTATAATTATGCAAATAAAAATGCTACATGATAGGCCTAAATGAAACATTTTCTTAGATTCCTGAACATGTATTGACAATCATCCTGTTATTTTCTATATCAGAAAGATAAGTTCATTGAGGTTACCATTGCCTCATTTTTTTTTTTTTTTGGTAGGAATTAACATTTTTGTTTCACTACAGAGAGGCTCTAACACAGCTGTGTAAACACTACCAACAATAAATATTTATTGTCTATTATGTACCTGTTCATTTCTAAGAGTAAAGGACAAAAGGAAAAGGCTCTCCTTTGTCCACCCTCTCTTACTAATAAAAAGACAAGACCTCTGCCCCATGGAAGGCTGGGAGCTAGGAAAAGCAGCATTCTTACAATAGATTACAATCAGAACATAGATTTTATGTCAGGTCATCTAGTTGCATAGATATTCCCCTGTTGTTATTCCCAAGTCCTTAGTAAAAACCTTAATTAAATGTTCCAGCCTTGTCTTGGCTGTGCTACAGGTGATAAAGCACAGGTTTATGCAATGATTGGTTCAGCGATAAAAGGGAGCAGACTCTTTCCAAGAGCAAACTGGGTGACAAGGATAAACTTAGTGGTCTAGCAAACTAGTTTCAGTGGAGTCTTCCACTGTCCATGGTAAAACCATGCAGGTTTTATTTTCTTAGGGTAGATGCTTAGCACAGGATTTCCTGAAGAATGGTACTTCTACCATATACTTAAGAATTACTTGAGATAAAAAATGCATGGATCTGAGACCCATCCCAGATACGATGTATCAGAATCTTTTTGGTAGGTGGCAGAAATAAGCATTTTTGAAAAGCTGACCAAATGATTCTTAAACTAAGGCTTGAAAATCATTGTGAACCATCATTCTGTATAGATTGGCTCTCAAAGTGTGCCTGAGGGATCCCTAGAGGTTCCCGAGACCCATTCAGGGAGCTGTGAAGTCAAAACATTTTTCATGATCATACTAAGGTGTTATTTGCTTCTTTTTAATTCTCTCACAAGTGTACAGTGGTGTTCTCCAGAGTCTACATGATATGTGACTGCATAACAGATTGAATCTAGAACATATGAGAACCCATCTATCTTCTTTAAGACAGAAAGTAACTCATGAAAAAAGCACACTGCTTTCCTCACTAAATCTTACTGTTTTAGAAGTTATTATTGGCTGGACACAATGGCTCACGCCTGTAATCCCAGCACTTGGGGAGGCTGAGGCTGGCAGATAACCTGAGGTCAGGAGTTCAAGACCAGCCTGGCCAACATGGCGAAACCCCACCTCTGCTAAAAATAGAAAAATTAGTCAGGCATGGTGGCAGGTGCCAATAATCCCAGCTACTTGGGAGGCTAGGGCAGGAGAATTGCTTGAACCTGGGAGGCAAAGGTTGCAGTGAGCCAAGATGGTGCCATTGCACTCCAGCCTAGGCGAAAGAGCAAAACTCCGTCTCAAAAAAAAGTTTGTATGTATTTATTTATTGTTTTTAAGCTAGAGTTTCACTCTTGTTGCCCAAGCTGGAGTGCAATGGTGCAATCTCAGCTCACTGCAACCTCTGCCTCCCAGGTTCAAGCAATTCTCCTGCCTCAGACTCCTGAGTAGCTGGGATTACAGGCATGTGCCAAAATGCCTAATTTTCTGTATTTTTAGTAGAAATGGGATTTCACCACATTAGCTAACCTGGTCTTGAACTCCTGATCTCAGGTGATCTGCCCACCTTGGCCTCCCAAAGTGCTGGGATTACAGGCATGAGCCACTGCACCCGACCTATTATTATTATTATTATTATTATTATTATTATTGAGGCAGAGTCTCAGTCTGCCGCCCAAGCTAGAGTGCAGTAGCACAATCTTGGCTCACTGCAACCTCTGCCTTCCAGGCTACATCAATCTTCCCACCTCAGCCTCCCCAGCAGATCTACAGGCATGCACTACCATGCCCAGCTAATTTTTTTTTTTTTTTTCTCTTTGAGATGGAGTCTTGCTCTGTCGCCCAGGCTGGAGTGCAGTGGCACCATCTTGGCTTACTGCAACCTCTGCCTCACAAGTTCAAGCAATTCTCCTCCCTTAGCCTCCCGAGTAGCTGGGATTACAGGCGTGCACCACCACACCAGGCTAATTTTTGTATTTTTAGTAGAGATGTGGTTTCACCACGTTGACCAGGCTGGTCTCAAACTCCTGACCTCAGGTGATCTGCCTGCCTTGGCCTCCCAAAGTGCTGGGATTACACGTGTGAGCCACCGTACCCAGCTAATTTCTGTGATTTTTATAGATGGGGTTTTGCCTTGTTGCCCAGGCTGGTCTTGAACTCCTGGGCTCAAGTGATCTACCTGTCTTGGCCTCCCAAAGTGCTGAGATTACAGGCGTGAGCTACCACGTCCAGCCAGAAGCTATTATTTTTAAATAAATAAATATTTTAAATTTTTAATGTTTAATATAATAATAATACATAGCTCACATAAATAAATGGTCTTGAGATCAAAATGTTTGAGAACTGCTGCTTTATAAGATGCATCTCGCACCCTACAAATATTACTACTGCTATGGGCTGCTTAGTTCCTTGGCAAACTCAATGCATACTTCATTTTAAATCTGATTCAATAGATCATTTGCAAAAAAGCATCTTAAACTTATTTTCAGGTATGGAGATTTAATCTGACAGTGAAAAATGGTGGTCTAACTGGATTTAAAAGTTAAAAGTCTATGACATAAAGCATGTTTTTCTTCATGACATCAAAATGAAATATCTTTAAATGTATACACAAGTTGACTCTGATGTATGAAACAGAAACCCATATTTTATGTGATGTATTTAAAAAACATTAGTAATGTGACAGTACACAGGCATTAGATTCTAAGTGAGTGGTGGCAAATAAATGGCTAATCCCAAACGTTAGCCAAAAACAAATCCATAGTTTTTTCAAAGAAAATAGAAAGGAAATAGGGTTTATAGAGAGATAACTTTCTTTTAATTACATTGTTAGAGTGTTGAAATGTGAGTAGACAGATTAATATTGACACTATACTAAGCTACACAATTTTATTCTTTTATTTTTTTAATTAAAAAAAGATAGAAGGGCTGGGTGCTGTGGATCACGCCTGTAAGCCCAACATATTGGGAGGCCGAGGTGGGTGGATCACGAGGTCAGGAGATTGAGACCATCCTGGCCAACATGGTAAAACTCCGTCTCTACTAAAATACAAAAAAATTAGCTGGGCATGGTGGCACACGCCTCTAGTCCCAGCTACTCAGAAGGCTGAGACAGGTGGAAGGCAGAGGTTGCAGTGATCCAAGATCATGCCACTACACTCCAGCCTGGACACAGAACAATACTTCATTTCCAAAGGAAAAAAAAAATAGGAGGTCTCATTATGTTGACCATTCTGCTTTTAAACTGTTGGCCTCAAATGATCATCCCATCTTGGCCTCTCAAAGTGTTGGGATTACAAGCATGATCCATTGTGCCCAGACACAATTTTATTTTTTTTCTTTATTCGAGATGGAATTTCACTTTTGTCACGCAGGCTGGAGTGCAATGGTGCAATCTCGGCTCACTGCAACCTCCATCTCCCAGGTTCAAGCTGGGAGATTTTCCTGCCTCAACTCCTGAGTAGCTGTAATTACAGACACCCGCCACCAGGCCTGGCTAATTTTTAAAGTATTTTAGTAGAGATGGGGTTTCACCATGTTAGTCAGGTTGGTATTGAACTCCTGACCTCAGGTGAGCTGCCCACTTTGGCCTCCCAAAGTGTTTGGATTACAGGTGTGAGCCACTGTGCCCAGTCCACAATTTAATTCTTAAATGAAAATATATCTTTGATATTGTTGCCAAATTAATATTTGAGTATATGTTGCCATTACAGAATAAAAACCAAAGACATTTAGATGTTTAGCCATAGCTGTGGTAAAAACAGGTCTCTCCAGCGTTGCATCTAAGTGGCAAAATAATTACACTGATACTTTTAACCTGCCATGTATAATTTTTCAATGTTTTAGCTATGTATTTTTAATTTTAATTTTAAATTTCTAAATTTTTATTGTTTTGAGATGGAGTCTTGCTCTGTTGCCAGGATGGAGTGCAGTGGCAGATCTTGGCTCACTCTGTAATCTCCGCTTCCTGGCTTCAAGCAATTCTCCTGCCTTAGCCTCCTGAGTAGCTGGGATTACAGGTGCATGCCACCATGTCCAACTACTTTTTGTATTTTTGGTAGAGACAGGGTTTCACCATGTTGGCCAGGATGGTCTCAATCCCTTTACCTCATGATCTGCCTGCCTCGGCCTCCCAAAGTGCTAGAATTACAGGCGTGAGCCACTGTGCCTGGCCACATTAGCTATTTAAAAACTCTGAGACAGCTAACATTTAAACAAATCCCTGCTGTTTGGGAATGATGTTTGAATAATATTGTGAACACACTTGCTAATTTATACCATATTAAGAAAGATTCTAAATAACACGGCTATTTAATATATCTTGATAATTGGTATTTGAAAATAAGTATATTTTTCTGAGTAGCCTTTTGGAAAAAGTGCACTGAATATAGTTTCCAGTCATATGCTACTTTCCTAACTCGTACTTCTCTAACATCTCATCAGGAGAGAGTTTAATAGTACTCGAACCCAAAGTGTAGTGAGTCTGACTTCAGTCCCCAATTTTGGTTTGCATGTTTACTTACAACTACCATTTCTCCACAAATTCTCCACTTAGTCTATCAAAAATCAATGCTCTGAAAGTTCTCTAAAAGGTGCAGAAGTTTTTTGGAGTCTCTGAATGATAACAGCATTCTGTAAGTCTGCTTCTTCCAGGGTGAGTGTCTCATCTAGCAATCTGAGGACAGGAAGAGCTGTTGCCAGGAAAAATGGAGGACTTCTTTGAGATCCTTGGTATTTTTCAATGAAGTCTTTGATATGGCTTACTCTGCAAAACAGCAAAAAATATTAATATAATTTTATGAAAATCTGAATTAGCTAATTTATAGTAATAACAACTGGTAAAAGTATCTGGATATGTTATTACTGTATTGAGAGACAGTATCTTGCTCTGTCACCCAGGATGGAGTGCAATGGTGCCATCATAGTTCACTGCAGCCTTGAACTCCTGGGCTCACGTGATCCTCCTGCTTTAGCCTCCCAAAGTGCTAAGATTATCAGCATGAACACCACACCTGGACTCTGGATATGTTAATACATAGAATAATCAAATTATGATATAACTGATTACTTGGACTTTTTTCTCTTTTTTTGAGAGAAAGAGTTTTGCTCTTGTTGCCCAGGCTGGAGTGTCATGGTGTGATCTTGGCTCACTGCAACCTCTGCCTCCCAGGTTCAAGCGATTCTCCAGTCTCAGCCTCCCAAGTAGCTGTGATTATAGATGCATGCCACCACCACCATGCCTAGCTAACTTTTTGCATTTTTAGTAGAGATACAGTTTCATCGTATTAGCCAGGCTGGTCTCAAACTCCTGACCTCAGGTGATCTGCCTTCCTTGGCATCCCAAAGTGCTGGGATTATAGGCGTGATTATACACTGCACCTGGCCTGGGCTATCTTTTGAAGTTTGACTCCCAGATATTTGATGACAATAAGAAATTACTACTGTTAAATTATCTTAGGTATGACAAAGGAATTATGGCTGTTTTAGAGAGTCCTAATCTTTCTGTGATTTGCTTACAGATAATTCACTGGGAGCTGAGTGATGCATCATATCTTCTCTGCTTTTGGATGCATCTACAATTTTCTGTAACAGAAAGTTTAGGCTGGGCGTGGTGGCTCACGCCTGTAATCCCAACACTTTGGGAGGCTGAGGCAGATGGATCACTTGAAGTCAGGAGTTGGAGACCAGCCTGGCCAACATAGTGAAACCCCATCTCTACTAAAAATACAAAAAGTAGCCAGGCAGGAGGGCGCCTGTAATCCTGGCTACTCGGGAGGCTGAGGCAGGAGAATCGCTTGAATGGAGCAGAGGTTGCACTGGACTGAGATCATGCCACTGCACTGCAGCCTGGCGACAGAGTGAGACTCCATCTCGAAATAAGTAAGTAAGTAAGTAAATAAATAAATAAATAAAGTTTATGTATCTATATAACTAGCTCTGAATAGAATAGAAACTGTCCAATCAATGATCCTACACAGATATAGGTTGTATCTCTCAAATACAAGGTCATGAGGTGCTTCAAATCCAATTAAGAAAAACTTTAAATCCGTGGTGGTGGAATTTTAGCTAGCATAATGAACATAGTATTATTCACTATAACATAATATAATCACTGCAAATGATTGTAGTTCAAAGTTAGGCTCATATATGTGTATTTAAAGAGGAAGAGTGTAAATACTGATAGAAACTGAGATGCCATTTATTTTAAGACACCTCATTTTGTATGTATTGTTATTTTTTAAATTTTATTTCATTTTGAGACAGTGTCTTACTTGTTGCCCAGGCTGGAGGACAGTGGTGCAATTACAGCTCACTGAAGACTTGACCTCCCTGGCTCAAGCAATCTTCTCACCTCAGCCTCCCAGGTATTGAAGACTATGGAAGCAAGTCACCAATCCCAGGTAATTTTTTAATTTTTTATCTTTTGTACAGACGAGGGCTTTGCCATGTTGCATATGTTTCCATGTTTCCCAGGCTGGTTTTGAACTCCTGGGCTCAAATCATCCTTCTGGCTTGGCCTCTCAGAGTGCTGAGATTACAAATGCAAGCTACCACACCTAGTCAAAAAAACAGGTTTAAATCTAGACTATGACAAATGTTTTCTTAATACTTAACATTTTATTTTCTATTTATTGAAAAAGCACTTTTGGGCCAGGCACAGTGGCTCACACCTGATATCCCAGCACTTTGGGAGGCCAAGGTCAAAGGACTACTTGAGTTCAGGAGTTCAAGACCAGCCTGGGAAACATATGGAGGCCCCGTCTCTACAAAAAAGAAAAATTTTTAATAATTAGCTGGATGTATATTAAAAAAAAATTAGCTGGATGTGGTGGTGCACACCTATAGTCCCAGCTACTTGAGAGGCTGAGGTGGGAGAATCATTTGAGCCCAGGAGATCAATGTATCCTTGTGTCACTGCAGTTCAGCCTGGGTGACATAGTGAGATTTTGTCTCAAAAACAAAAAACAAAAAACAAAAAGAAAAAGCACTTAAAAAATTTTTTTTTGAGAAAGAGTGTCTCTCTGTTGCTGGGATGGAGTGCAGTGGCATGATCTCAGCTCACTCCAACTTCTGCCTCCCAGGTTCAAGCAATTCTCCTACCTCAGCCTACTGAGTAGCTGGCACTACAGGCGCATGCCACCACGCCCAACTAATTTTTGTAATTTTAGTAGAGACGGGTTTCACCATGTTGTCCAGGATGGTCTCAATCTCCTGACCTCATGATCTTGAGAGGCACCTTGGCCTCTCAAAGTGCTGGGATTACAGGTATGAGCCACCGCGCCTGGCCAGAAAAAGCATTTTTAGACCTAATTTCATGCAAGCATTTATCAAATCACTCATGTGCTTCCATAAAATGGAAAATTCAAGTAAAATAGTTGACACTCCAAACACTTGAATATTATTCAGACTTGAATCCTCTGAATCATTTTTGATTCAGTCATCGATGTATGTTTTTCCACATGATACCCACCCTCTGTATCATCAGGTATGTTGGTGATACGGTTTGACTGTGTCCCCACCCAAATCTCCAATAGTAACTCCCATAGGGAGGGACCTGGTGGGAGGTAAATGAATCATGGGGGCATGTTTTTCCCATGCTGTTCTCCTGATAGTGAATAAGTTTCATGAGATCTGATGGTTTTATAAATGAGAGTTCCCCTACACATGCTCTCTCCCACCAGCCACCATGTAAGACGTGCCTATGCTCCTCTTTGCCCTCTGCCATGATTGTGAGGCCTCTCCAGCCATGTAAAACTGTGAGTCAATTAAACCTCTTTCCTTTATAAATTGCCCAGTCTCGGGTATGTCTTCATTAGCAGCATGAGAACAGACTAATACAGTGGGTGATAATTGATTTTTTTTGGCAGGGGGACGATGGGGTCTTGCTCTGTTGTACCAGCTGGAGTGCAGTGGCACAATCTTGGAACACTTCAATCTCTGCCTCCTGGGTTCAACCAATTCTTGTGCCTCAGCCTCCCGAGTAGCTGGGACTACAGCTGCCCACCACCACGCTCGGCTAATTTTTTTTTTTTTTTTTTGTAGACAGGGTTTCGCCATGTTGGCCAGGCTGGTCTCGAACTCCTGACCTTAAGTGATACACCCACCTTGGCCTTCGAAATAGAATTTCTTTTATAAGTGCTCTACTATCAGTGGGGCACTGTGGCTCACACTTGTAATCTCAGCACTTTGGGAGGCTGAGGAAGGCAGATAGTTTGAGTCCAGGAGTTTGAGACCAGCCTGGACAACATGACAAAACCCCGTCTCTACTAAATATACAACGATTAGTTGAATGTGGTGGCACTAGCCTCTAGTCCCAGCTACTTGGGGGGCTGAGGCAGGAGGATTGCTTGAACCCCAGAGGTGGAGGTTACAGTGAGCCGAGATCGTGCCACTGCACTCCAGTCTGGGTGACAAGGCAAGACCCTGTCTCAAAAAAGAGTGCTTGACTACCTTTTTTGAATAGTCTTTTGTTCCACTGACACTCATTGTACACTTTGAGGCAGATGCTAAGGCCATCACAATTGTATCATGACTGTCAGGTAGCCATGGATTATAGAATGCATCCTTATTTCACGGATGCTAAAATGTGAAAAAATACGCAACTCAGAATGAATAAAATATGTAAATCACTTAAGAAAGAATTCTCTCATTCAAGCACTTCACTCAAATTCACCATGTGCCACTTTATGAAACATGTAAGGGTTACCAAAAATGTCTAACACCCTGTGTATTCATTTGGGTACCAAAAATTGGATGACTGAAGGTTAAAGCTTACATCAACCAACATAAATATAAAAAGCAAGAAAACAAAGATTAAAAGAACTGGGGAAAGATTCATGGATGTCAAAGGATTTGAATGTGATCTTAAAAGGGGTCCAGCTGCTCGGGAGTCTGAGGTGGGAGATGAAGGTTGAGCCTGGGAGACGAAGGTTGCAGTGAGCTGAGATCACGTCACCGCATCCCAACCTGGGTGAAAGGATGAGATGCCATCTCAAAAAAAAAAAAATTATAAAAACAAAAACAAAAACATAAGTTTCTTTTTATTTCCCTAAGACAGAGTCTTGCTCTGTTGCCCAGGCTGGAGTGCAATGGCCTGATCTTGGCTCACTGCAACCTCTGTCTTCCAGGTTCAAGCAATTCTCCCTGCCTCAGCCTCCTGATTAGCTGGGACTACAGGCACCCACCACCATAGCCAGCTAATTTTTGTATTTGTTAGTAGAGACGGGGTTTCCCTTTGTTGGCCAGGCTGGTCTTCTCCTGACCTCAGGTGGTCTGCCTGCTGAGCCTCCCAAAGTACTAGGATTACAGGCATGAGCCACTGTGCTCTGCCAAGATTCTTATCCATGATTCTTCTCTGCTTTTATATTTTTCAAATGTTTCTTCTCAAACATTATATGACTTATTTTCTGTCTCTCCTGACTAGAAATTACACAAAAACAAGTTATTTTTATTTTTGTTCATAGATATATCCTCAGTGCCTAAAAAAGTGCCTATCAGAGATACAATAAATATTGGATGAGTGAAAAATAAATCAAAAAGCTCATGTATCAATGATGATGACT